TCTTGGATACTGACCCGGCGACTGTGGGTAATGGATGGTGTGTCTTGGATACTGACCCGGCGACTGCTGATAATGGATGGTGTGTCTTGGATACTGACTTGGTGGCTGTTGACTGGTGGAGGGTCCTGGCTACTGACCCGACGACTGTGGATAATGGGCAGGGGTTCTTGGATACTGACCCGGCGGCGACTGTGGATAATGGGTGGCGAGTCTTGGATACTGACCCCATGACTGTTGACAATGGGCTGAGAGTCCTGGGTACTGACCTGGGGCAAAGGGTCTTGGGTCTTGTCTTGGTTGTTACTGGGAGATTCTGGAAGGAAACCTGGCTGGGTGCTCTGGGGACCAGATTGGGGCCTCTGGGACATGTGGAGAAGCAGGGCAAGGCCAGTCCCCAGATGCACTCAACAGCCTGCCAACCGCCTCAGCCCCTCCTTCCAGGCACCTCCATGGCTACCCAGAAGTCTGTTGGTCTCACTCCAGGGTTCAAAAACTGTCCCTTGGCATTTGGATCTCTCTGTCCCTTCTTCTGTGTTTCTTGGTCTCTCCTGTTGTCCACAGGCAGGCCTCAGGGCTTCAGTCCGGCCTGCAGCTGGGGGCGGGGGAGGTTCCATGACAGTTGGAGGGGTTCCAGGAGGTTGAGACGTCGGCCATGGACTCATATTCCACCCTAGCTCCATGTGAGTGACGTGGGGGCCGAGGCTGGCCAGGGTGCTTTCAGTGTGGGTTCTGAGCAGGGGCAGGATTGGGTCAAGAAGAGGTCACTGCTGGGTCAGAGAAGTGTCAGGATGGGGCAGGGGTGGGATGGAGGGTAGGGAGTGATCAGGGTGGAGACAAATCAGGGTCAGAGAGGGGCCAGGGTGGGGTCAGGGTGGAGACAACAGGGTCAGACAGGGGCCAGAGTAGGGTCAGGGCTAGGCAGGGCTGAATCAGGACTGGGTCCCTGGCATCTCTGAGATCAACTCTTGCAGTTTCTGGAGGGCCTGAGATCTGAATTTACAATTCCCTCCTCCTGCGTGCCCCCACCCAACCTCCTTCCGAGACCTTCTCTGAATCAGTTTCATCCCTGTATTCCCTTCTCTAGTCCCACATCTACCCCTGCTCCCTTTCTTTCTCCTCTGTCTCTGTCTCTCTTCACCTTTCTCTGAGGCCTCAGGGACCCAGAGAAGATTGGGCCTGCTCCCTGCCTTCAAAGACCTCCAACCTTGGGAAGTAGAGGCAGACCCAGCCACAGCTTGAGAAGGGCTCAGGAGAGGGCAACAGGGGTGTGGGCACCCCAACCAGTACGTGCAGCCTTTCCAGTCAAGAATGACGACTTTTCGAACTGCTGTTTCCCTCATCCTTTCCTTTCGCTTTTGTGATGACCTCTTGAAAAAACAAAAAACAAAACCCCCCACAAATCTTTCTGTCTTTGATGACATGAATACCCATTTAACTGCTCTGTGCCTCTGTTTCCCCATCAGTCAAAGGACATAATGATACTCCAGAGGGTGGCTGCCAGGATGAAATGGGTTGATAACATGTAAAAGCACTTAGAACCCATTGCGATAAAAACCTGTTGGAGTTTTACACTTCACAGATATTCATTTCGATTCTAAAAGTTTCTTTCTCCATCCCCTGAGCTCCTTCCTGAGTTCCAGACCCCTATACCCAACTTGCTCTGAAATCCACATTGAGATGTACCACAGAAGAAGAGAAAGGAGTTACTATTACTGGATAACATTAATGCATCCACCCATTCATTTATTCACATGTTCATTTGTTACCCCTTTCAGTTAACAAACAGCAAAGGCTCTGTGCCAGGCGATGGGGATGCAAAGTGAAACAAAGATTTGTCCCCTACCCCCATGGAGGTCTGTCGGGGACGACTCGTAGGGGAAAAAGTAGTCAGTGAAGTAATGAATCACAAGTCTGTGGTACACCAGTGAAGGAGAGTTGCACATGGCGCTATGGGAGCATTTGATGGGTGACCTGATCAAGAACCGAGGCTGGGGGTGGGGTGGGGGGCTCAGGACAGGAGATGTGGACAAAGTGACATTGGAGGTGAGGTGGTGAGGGCAGTCTGGGTGAAGGTGGGAGAGTGCCCCGGGCAGAAGGAACATGAACTGAACTGCTTGGAGGTCGGAAAGCTCTGGGTGTGTGGGAGGGACCCAGTGAAGTCCAGCATGGCTGGAGGTAAGTGAGCAATGTCCCGCCAGCTGGGAAGGTTGGCAGGATCACGGTGGTTGGCGAATGCTGGGTACACCACCCGTGTTCATTCTTTTAACACCGTGAGTCTTGGCCTGGTGAATACACTTTGGAACCTGTGTCATAGTTGTGTCTGTTTCCCGGGTTGGGATTTGCGACAGAGATGGAGATAAGGGGATGAGGTTGAGAGCGGAGATGGAGCTGGGGGATTGGGGAATAGGGACTGGGGGATGGAGTTGGAGACAAAATAAGTAGGTTTGGGCTTAGGATGTTGTTGTGGATGGGAGATGAGCTGGGCATTAGGGTTAGAGATGGAGATGAGGGTGCGTTTGGAGTCAGAGGTGGGGATGAGGTTGTGTTTGGGGTTTAGGACAAGGAGGATGTCATGGATGGCATGGGGCTGTGGATGGTGCTGGAGAGGAAGTTAGAGTTGGTGATGGGACAGGAACAGACATGGGGATGCGGTTGGGATTGGGGTTTGTGTGGGGATGGGGATGTGGCTGTGGTCAGAGATGGAGACTGGGATGCAGGCCGATCTGGGCCCCCAGAACTCTATTCTTTCCCAGTGGACGCAGTCTCTTCCTGGGAGGAGGATCGCAAGTTCATCCTGCGGGGCTGGTCTCTCGCCTTCAGCATCCTCGCGACCCTGATGGTGCTCACCACAATGGATGGGCGTATGGTCTACGTGCGAGGCTCCTACACGGGCTACGTGGGCATCTGGATTGACTGCAGAAAGCACCAGTGTGCCAGCCTGGGCCAAGTCACCGGTCAGTAGGAGCCTGGACAGGCTATGGGGCCCTCTGGAGGAGGGGGCGGTTCTCTGGAAATTACCAGGGGTCTGAATCTCTGGGGGAATATCTTTGGGTGTTCTTGGGGGAAAATCTTTAGAATTCTCCAGAGGGTCTCTGGAGACTCTCTGAAGGCCTTGTGAGGGTGTCTTCTGGAGTCGTATATGGCTTATAAGGAAATGGGCCTGTCATAGCTCACGGGAAGGAGAGCACCACATTTGACCACAAGCCAATCCGCCTCATGATTAGATGGCTAAAGACACCATCATTCTCTCTCTCATGCACTAGTTTGTTTGTTTTTTTTCCTGAGGATGATTGGCCCTGAGCTAACATCTATTCCCATCTTCCTCTATTTTGTTTGTGGGACGCCGCCACAGCATGGCCTCCAAAGAGTGGTGTAGCTCCACGCCCAGGAACTGAACCCAGGCTGCCAAAGCAGAGCACACCGAATTTAACCACTAGGCCCACGGGGCTGGCCCCCTTCTCTCACTTTTTAAAATAGTTTTTTTTTTTTTTTCTTTCCAAGATAACAAGAGGCTTCCAGCTGCTTTAGAAATATTTTGCCTCCTTGTAGGTCTCTGCATTTCCAGGGCTTCTGAGCATTGCAACAGGAGGCAGCCCAGAGCCTGGAACCAGAGTGACTGGGTTCGAATCCTGGCTCTACTGCTTGGTAGCTGGGTGATCTTGGGCACTGCTCTGTGCCTCAGTTTCCTCATTTCTAAAATGGCAGTGAGAGTAGTCCCGACTCACGGACTGTTTGAGGAAAAAGTGCGTTAAAACAAGCCAAGGAATTAGAGCAGTGCCTGGCACATATTAAGTGCGACAACAGAGTTAGCTGTTATTATTATAAGGACTTTTTTTTTTTCCCCACCCAATGCACCTCCCTTCACTTCAGATCTCAGATAAGTGCTTATGAAACTTTCAGAACACTGTGTAGTATTAATCTTATTTATTTATTTGGGAGGTCTCTTTCTCTCATACTTCCCAAACTCGAGCTGGTGTAAGTAAGACGAACATGGTTTCAAGTTATGGAAAAATCCAGAGGCATAGGTCTTTCCGGGTTCAGGTACTGCTGGATCCAGGTGCTAAAGGGTGTCATTAGGGATCTGTCTCCTGCCATCTCTCCGGGAAAGCTTCCTGTTTGTTGGGCCTTCAGACAAGCTGTGCCCGTGCAGTGGCAATGGGGCCGCCAGCAGTGCTTCGAGTCCGTCCTTTCTGTAAACAACCCTGGGAAAAGGAGTATAAGTTGCCTTCTGTTGCCTTCAAGCTCTCAAGATTAGCTCTGACAGGATCAGATTTCCTTCCCTGGGATTTCTCACTCCTCCCAGTTGCTGTGCTCAGGAGGAGGTCACACTGTCACTGGCTGGGTCTGGATCACACACTTTTCTTGAGGCAGTGGAGGGGTCATTTCTGTCAGAAGCACAAGGACAAACAGTGGGTGGAGAGTTCCTCTGAACAAAATCAGGTTGCTGTTGCCAGAA